GGGCTGCAGATGCGGCGGCGGCGCTAGCCTGGCCCTCGGTCTCCCTTCGCGGTCGATACCTTCGCCTCTCCCCGCCTTGCCCGGCATGGATCTACCCGTGGGCCCCGGCGCTGCGGGGCCCAGCAACGTCCCGGCCTTCCTGACCAAGCTATGGACCCTCGTGAGCGACCCGGACACCGACGCGCTTATCTGCTGGAGCCCGGTAAGGGGTGGGGCGCGTTGCCAAGGGGTCAGGGTCGGGCCCCCGTCTCGCCGGTCCGGGGGCGTGGGCGGGGAGCCCAAAGGGAGGAGAAGCGTCCGAGGCCCGCTCCTTCGCCGGCTCCCGCCCGCGCCCAGTTTCCTCGGAGAGGGGAGGAAAGGCCTCTCGTCCTTTCGGCTTTTGCTAACTGGGGGACAACTGCGGAGGCGTGTCTGTCCTTTGAACAGCATCCAGTTTTGCTAGCGAACGTTGTGTCCAGGTGGCTTTCTGTACCTTCTCAGTTGGGTTACCAGGGTGCTGTGGTCGGCAGCTGCTAGGGAAAAATCTGGACTTGGCCGCGTGAATCAGAGGGTGTGGCCCTAGGGTCAAAGGAAAGGAAGCGAAAGCCAAGTAAAACGTCCCAAAGTTCATTTCAACCTGGAACCTGAGTCCGAATACCGGAGCCCCCAAGCAGCGTTGTTTTCCACTACTCAGGGGGCGTCGTTTTCTGTTCCCAGTTGCCTGGCAGCTGGCTTGTATGCAGGGGCTGCCCCCGCGAGACCGGACAGCTCCGGTTTGTAGAAGTAAATAAATCAGAAACTGTTTAGAGTTGGAGCCGCGAACCTGATGTTCACTTCCTGGCTGTGACGTCGCGTCCCGGGAAGGCCAGAGCCGTAACCCGGTGCTGGCTTATAGCAAGGCCCTCTGGTAGTACCGAGCCTCTGGGCGCCTCCACACGTGCTTGACCTCCTGGGAGCTGAAGCCCGCGGTGCCCGGAGGGCAGGCCAGGGTCTCTCGGGCTCTACCAAGTCCCTCCCTCTCGTACTGTCGTTAGAAAGGAGGAAAAGTCTGGACTGAAGCGCCCTGAGTTGGAGGCCAGGCCTGCTCCCTCTTTGCACGTCTGCTGAAGCGCCACCGGCCCCACCTGCAGAGTGTCTAGGGGTAGAGATGGGAAGCCGTTTGGCGCCCCTGTTGGAGATACTTTGTCCGGGTCCCAGTGATGTCTCTGTGTGGGTGTTCCCCATTCCCCACGCCCATTTTTTCAGTGGCAGCAGGAGTCCTGAGGGGCAAGCAAGGTGCTTTCCCGCAGGCTGTCATGCTACCGCCATCCCCTGTTCCAGACAGCGAACTTTCCTCACCGCTGCGTTTCTCTTTTTCACCTGCCTCCTTGCTCTTTCCCGTTCCCCTTAGCTCTCAGGGAGCGCCCTCGTGCAGGTCGGGGAGGGGCAGCGGTGACCGCCAAATGTCCCAGCTGAATCCCGCTAGGATGACCGCCTTCCCCCTCAACCCGCCTGCTGTTTCTGCTTAAGGGTCGCAAGGCAGGAGGTGAAGGCTGCTCGCGGTCTCCTCTCCGCAGGACCTGCAGCTGTGCTCTTGGCGAACCTTCGCGCGGGAAAGCGGGACACAGTCAGACCCGTGCGGCCACACTCGAGTGGCCAGGCCGAGCACAGTGTGCTGGGTGCAGGATGGTGGCCAACCCGGCCAACTCAGGAGCACAAGGAAAGCCTTTCTGGCCTGGACAGGGCTGGGAGCAGATGGGGAGTTGCTGGGCCTGAGGCAGGAAATGGTCGGGGCCCTGTGGCCTCGAGGACAGCCCCACCGGCCTGCAGCTCTGTCAGAAGAGTATGCTTGGGGCCTTCCACAGGGTCTGGCTCTCAGGCCGTGGGAACTCTGATGTCCCCGCTCACCTTCCCCTGTGCTAGAAGTTTTCTCATTGTTCTGCCCAGGGAAACTCTCTGTGTTTGTCCCAGGGGACACGGGAGGCTGCCGCTCAAGGCTGAGCAACTGGAGGGGGAGGGCTGCCTCCAGCCCCAGAAACCCTGGCCGGTGGTGCCGGGCCAGACAGCTTTGTGCACCCACTGCTCAGCGTGAGCAACAGCCCACCAGGTCACTGCTCCAGGTCCTCACCTGATTCCAGATGACTCCCTGGTGCCCAGCTGATGGCTCAGGGCCTCCCTACGCAGGTCCTGCAAGGCACTGAAGCTCGCCGCCCTGTGAAGCGTGTGCAGTGACGTCGAGCATGGCCCAGGGGTGGGCCTCAGCTCCCCTGACCTAGTTTGTCGCCCCCTCATCTCCATTCCCGCCGGCTTGTCCTGTATATCTGGCCATCTAGCCGGGACAAATGGGGAGACCCTCAGGGCTGGTTGAAGGAAGCACCCCTTTTTAGGCCCACTTGCACTTGTAGGCCCTGCCTAAAGTTTGGCTGCCGACGTTCCCCTGGCTTCACCCTAGTCCCAGCTGATTGGTGCAATTTTCTTCTCTTTGGAAGC